TAGGGTTAGGGTTAGGCAAAGTGAGATAGGCTGAAACAAACACCTGTCTCTTATACACATCTAGATGTGTATATGTGATCAATAACAATGTTGACTGCTTTGTAATAAAAGTGAACTTTATATTCAAAATGACCAGCTTTATGAAACCACATACACAAACCAACAGATGAATATGTCAACACACAACAGCATAACTAGATTGGTAAGGCCTAATAAGAAAATTACAACTAGACAAAAAATAGCCACAATCCATGTCGCGCCATAAAAGAAATCTGTATTCTTGAACGAGTTGTAATAGGGAAACATTTTAATGTTAAAATATATAAATAATTAAAAAAAATTATTAAAATAGGGATTCATTCAATTAAAAAGCTCTAACCAGGGGCGGATCCAGAACTTTTTAAACTCAGAAAAGAAAAGTGAGTAGTGCTTATTTCAATATATAGCAGTGATATTCATTGGAATTTAAAAATTTAGTGGCAAAATGGAGGAGGAGGACAGTCCCCCGTGTACCCTACTGGATCTGCGCCTACTAACCACCACAAGAATCGTTAATGTAGTGATATTAATATGTCCTGTATCATGATAATAACGATGCTGTTCACTTCAAAATTTGTAATCTCAAAAACCGGTATTCTGCGAATGACATCAAGCCAGTGTCTGCCAAATTAATGTCTTGCAAAAAAAAGTGCAGTACCAGCAGTGACGTATCTAAAGTTGTGCGGGAGGGGAAGAGTCCCCTAAAAAGTTTGAAGCAAAAAAGTACCGCTCAAGTAGCTAAAAATCACCTCATAGGGCCTATCAACTTTAGCAAGCTAGTACCACCTCACTTGATCATCGATCACTTCCAGTGGCGGATTTAGGGGGTTGTAGGAGGGGGCGTCCCGCATCCCCATTCCCCAAATTCAAAAATTTAACTAAAATGAAGAGCAAAAGAAAATTATATTCAAAATTTGAATCCCCCTCTATTTCAAATTCCTGGATCCGCCACTGCCTTCCTTCCCTTTTTTGGTCATGGTTAACTTCAATTTTCATGAAAAAAATTACAATAAGGCTTCTCGTATCGTATCGTACCTTATCAGTCCCCCATTTCAAAACTACAAGATACGTCACGTACTTTGTCATTAAATGGGGAAGTGTATTCGATCTTGCTTCAAATTTGAAACTACTCCCATAAAATTAGTTTAGTTTAAATTACGTAGCTTTCCATCTTTGGAAGTTCTTTTACTTAAGAGATGATTTACTGACTGCATCAAACCAATTAACAGTGTGGTTACGCCCCTTTTCCTCCATTTTTTAATTAGTCAAAAATCTGTATCATTAAAAATTCCGGACTTTTTTCATCAAACACCATCTTTGTGTCGCGTCAGTTCTACCAACATGATTATCATCATTTTCCCCCCAGAGCTTGCCTTTAAATCATTGTACTTCCGTTTAATATCTTAACCCATATTTTATTTGCAAAGAATTCAGTGGACCTTCCACAGTTGTGTATTGATTTTTTTTAAATAGAAATCATGCTTGCAATCACGAGAAGTATACCTTCATATAACATATGAAGGTGTACTGCCATATCATGTCCATAATTATGGCTCGTAGGTAGTGAAAATGGGATCCTAAATCCTCAAGCTGTTAATGGGTATGGTGCACCATAGAGAAAATAGAACATTTCCTTTATGGGTGCACTGCCTTTATCATTTTCCTGGCCGTAAGTGCTTGTTACATTTCAAGCATTTCTTTTTAAATATCTCTGTCGCAGTGGACTTGCGCAGAACGAGTATATTTGAAGGATTGTATAGAGCGTGTACGCTATAGATATCTCTGTTAAGTAACAGAATTAAAATAACTTTTCTTGTTTATGTTTTCGTTTTGTTAATCCTGCCACTGACTTGACTGTATTGACTTGTCTTTTCTGTGTATTTAAACGTTTTTAGCGAAATAAATGAAATGAAATAATAAACAATTATTAGTTCTGTTTAATGTCTGTGTATTAGGCCTACATCATTAAATCTAGCTAATTGTGATGATTTATGAACAGAATAACTTACAAGTTAACTTCAGCGCAAGCAATTTTATTTACTGTATTACTGGTAGTCAAAAACATATTACATACATACATATCTATATTATCACTATGCACACTAAATGAGGAACTAAAATAATACATATTCAACTTAAGTATTTCAAACATGACTATAGGATTTTAACATCATTTGACCAAAGGGTTGAAAGCTAGTCAATAAACTTTGGAATTCAAAATATTGGTGCTGTACATAACATTTATAGTTATTTCTATACCTCAATACTAACTTATATTTCTATTCCGCTATTTTTGAAATGGTAAAACAAAAATGAGTTTTGAGAAATACAGTATATTAATATTAACTTTATTTTATTATTAATTTGAAATATAATCAAACATTTAGAATGAGTATATATTTTAGTTATTCTGCTATTTTTGATACCATAAAACAAGACTGTAAATGTGATACTATACACTGCAGGTTAAGCCAATATTAATTATTAAAAATACTAGTATAAACATATACATATATTTTTATACATTCACTTATATTTCATTCTGCTATTTTGATATGATAAAGTACAACAAAGTGATCTTTGAGATATATTAACATTAACAAAGCAGAACAAGATTTATGAGATATATTCAAAGCAGATGTTATAAATTCAGAATACAAATACAGTATATACACATATACCTCATTAGGCCCTATAAAAAATATATTAGTTTATCACCCTATCTAGGCTTGAAAATTGAAGAGGTCAGAGGCGGACAGGAGGCTTTTGATTTTGATTTTATATTTTGCTATTAAGACAAATAACACCATTGAGTTGTTTGCTGGTGCATTGATATTCAAGGTAAAATACATAATTGAGATAATACAAGCAATATCTACTAACTATGTACTAAAAAACATAAAAATAGAATGGCCTGAGGGAAAAAAAATGTTTTCCAAAATATAAAAAAAAAAATGTTCAAAATGTTTTTTTATACCATAGAAGACATGCGGACGAGGGTGATAAACTAACTATTTATCATTAGACCTTACCTAATTTTGATATGCTAAAACCAAAATGATTTTTGAGTTATACTGTACTGTACTGCATTAGTTGGTATAAAAGTCGGCCATGATGATTTTACAATTCTATGTTCCACAGGAATCAATATACAATCTCTAGTCAGGTGTTTTTGCGTATTGTTGATGCACCTGAAAAAAATGAATATACAATAGACTGTCAGTCAAAAGTCCTATAGATCAAGGGGAAGATCTGGGATTTTTTAAAGTTTCAGATGGTTTGCATCAACACCTGTTATTGACGTATGACTCCCACATGACATAAAGCTAAATAAAATCAATTGCTAGTTTCACTCCCCACCCTCATCAAATTTTGGAGCCTCATGAAAAAATTTACCTATTTTATATATTTCCTATTTAAAAAAAAAAAACATTAATTTTTCCATGGACAATACAAATGACTATCTGAAAGAATGATGTTAAGCCTAAGAAGAAGTGGGAATATAAATGGCAGAAATACATTACAAAGATTCATTTTACTTCTTTTATTAAAAAAAAAAAAATTTTACTATTTACCAACCTGTTTACCATTAGTATATAGGATAGTAAAATGTAAAAAGTAAATACCCTCAACAAAAAATTCCTTTTTTTATTTTTTGCACGCAGTAACTTAATCTTCAGTTCTGAAAAGGTTAACCACAGGAGGGTACAATGGAATGGAAAATCAATTTAATAAAGTGTATTAGCTTTCATATACATCCATCAGAACCATCAGAATCATTTTGGGGATGATTTACAGCAGCCTTCACATGGCCCTCCTTGTAAGTGAAACTAATGCTTTATACCTACAATTGTAAATTGATATTACTGATTTTAATACACTTTTTTTTCTTTTATAAGAACACATTTTATAAGAACACTGAGGCTGAAATTACTTAAAAATTAAGAACAAAATAAGACCAAATTGAGGCTGCGGTAAAATTTCAAATGAGGGTTATATTTTTAAAAACTAAAATATTATATCTGTACATTATGTGCAGTAGCTGTGACTGTAATACCCTCTATAATACAGTACAGTAGGTGTACCTATCTGACATTTGGGGGCCATTTTTTGTGGGTTCACTTTCACCTACATTCCAATACAGTGCATACTGCCGTACAATTAAATAATTTTTGTTTAAAAGGGTGTAAACTAAGAACAAAATAAGAACGTTTTGAGCCTGAAATCAGCCAAAAAATAAGATCACTGAGCCTGGGCAAAATTTTACTGGTTCTTATAAAAAGGATACAATGCATACACGACAGGAAGAACCATACCAAGAGGAGGGAATCGGAATTCAGTAACTTAATTGAAAGACCAATATGTATTCTTTTAAGGTGTATGGTTGCAATTTTTGAATTTTGAGTCCTACCAAGAGTCTTCATCTGGGCCCTGATGAAATCCACAAAGAATGGAATTTACACAATCTTCCCATTATGACCTTATCAATATTAAAGTCATTACACCATTGCTGAGGTCACAAAGTTGAGTAAGTATATCTTTATGATGAAGAACCTTTTAATGTGATTGGATAATTTTAATCTACAGGGAACAACAGCAGTTTGCAGTAGGCCTAACTATGGACTTTGCTCTGTGATTATGTGATCACACCTATAACAGTTGATGTGCAGAATCAGTCACACAGTACTGAGACATTTAACAGTGCATTATTCCTGCTTTTGTGGTTAGTGTGTCTTTACACATTGAAATCTCAAGGTAAATGTTTCACTCATAATTTAAATTTTCTCTGCTTGTATTCTAATTTATTGATAATACTTTTTGTTCAATTTTTCACAAGGATCCCAGCGGGCACAAAACGTTAATTTAACGTTGAAGCAACGTTGAAATGTAGTTGAAACGTTGAAATCATGTTCACAACATATACTCAACATTGAATCAACGTTGGAAATATGTTGTGTATTTAACCCAAGTCTCGGTTGATAATTTAACATTAATTCAACGTTGAATTAATGTTAAAATTTGGTTGATAATTTAACAATTACAGTACAAACATGTATTCAACATCATTTAAACGTCAAGTTAATATATAGTTTGCATTTCAATGTAGAATCAACGTTGAAAATGTGTTACGTTTTTCAACCAGAAACCTATTGCTTATTCAACATTTTTTCTACGTTAAATAAACGGTGAAAATATGTTAAGATTTTAATGTTACAGTAACTACTTAAGTTCAACATCAAGTTAAAATATAGTTTGCATTTCAATGTAGAATCAACGTTGAAAATGTGTTACCTTTTTCAAACAAACTCCTATTGTGTATTAAACGTTTTTTCAACGTTAAATACACGTTATAATTATGTTGAGATTTTAAAGTTACAGTATCAACATAAGTTCAATGTTTTTCAATGTGAAGTTAAAATATAGTTTTTTTATATAACTTTATTTCAACATTGAATTCATTTTGAAATCTGGTTGAGATTTTAACATAACAATTACAATGTTTATTTAACATTTTTCCAATATTAACTCTAAACATATTTTTTATTTCAATGTAGAATCAACATTGAAAATGTGTTGTGTATTTTAAAAAATGTATCCATTACATACTTAACGTTATTTCAATAATAAATAAATGTTGAAAATGGTTTAGATATTTAAATTACATTAACAACATTAGTTCAACATCTTTTTAATGGTTTAAATATAGTGTATTTTAACATATAATCAATGTTTAAACTATGTTATGTTTTTCTGCCAAAAACCATAGTTTATTCAAAGTTTTTTCTACGTTAAAAATATGTTGAGATTTGAATGTTATAGTAACAACGCAAGTTCAACAATTTTTACAACATCAAGTTAAATTATAGTTTGCATTTTAATGTGGAATCAATGTTGAAAAAGTGATATGTTTTTCAACCACAATCCTATTGTTTATTGAACATTTTTTTAACGTTAAATAAACATTGCAAATACGTTGAGATTTTAAAGTTACAGAATCAACATAAGTTAAATGTTTTTCAGTGTCAAGTTAAAATATTGTTTTTACTCAACTTTAATTCAATTTGAAATCTGGTTGAAATTTTAACATAACAATACAATGTTAAGTCTAAATATAATTGTTATTTCAATGTAGAATCAATGTCCATTAATTTAACTCAAAGTTATTTCAACAATAACATTTAAAACTGGTTTGGATATTAAAATTACAGTAACAACATTAGTTCAACATCTTTTCAATGTAATGTTTAAAATAGCTTGTATTTTAATGTATAATCAACGTTCAATGTTACCGTATGTTTTTTCAATTAAAACCTTGTTTATTCCACATTATTTAACGTTAAATAAACGTTGGAAATATGTTGAGATAGGCTAAATTTACAGTTACTATATAAGTCCAAAATCTTTTCAACGTCAACGTAAAATTGCATTTCAATGTAGAATCAACGTTAAAAATGTGTTATGTTTTTCAACCAAAGACCTATTGTTTATTTAACGTTTTCTCAACGTTAAACCCACCCATTATTTAC